AGAGTCAGGTCGAGAAGGTCGAACCGCGTTAAAATTTAGTAAGATCCAGATCCTCCGTTATTCCCAAACCACCTTCGCTCCTCCTCCACCTTCGCTCCTCCTCCACCTTCGCTCGTTTCTCATCGACGACCTTCCTTTACCAGATCGAGCCGAGAACCGGCTGCCCAAAATGCGAGTGTCGGGATCCGTGCCGCGGTATCGCCTGTCCGGGGACCAGCCAAACGTGCGAGCTGATCGATGTAACATGCGCACGTCCGCCGTGTCCGCCGATTCCCAGCTGTCGTAAAGCGAAATCGCTGTCGTCGATCTGCCCTGCCGGCGAGCCGTTGCAAATCACGGACTCGCCGAGGCCATTTCTCTGCGGCGACTCGCCCGGGAAACCGACGTGCCCCCCGATGTACAGCTGCCTGGTGGAGCCGAAGCAGGAGTACGGAATATGTTGTCCGTCGAGTATAAATCTGAAGAGGCCGGGAACTTGCCCGCTGGAGGAGCCAGCGGTTTGCGGGAATTCTTGCCAGCACGATTTGGAGTGTCCCGGGCCGCAGAAATGCTGCAACAGCGAGCGATGCGGCGGCGGTGTCTGCTCCGTTCCTCAGGGTCTCAGCGCCTGTCATCGAGACAGGGTCCTGGCGGAGATGATGAGCATCTCCGAGAGACAGGGACGCGGATACGTTCCCCAGTGCACAGACGGTGAGATCAAACTCTGTACAACGACCTAACGACACCTTATTTCTATTTGAGGGAGTTCTACTCGTTTTTACTTCTCTTGCTGGCAAGCATCTACTGTAAGATTACCTAGAATTTCGTTCAGACGAAATATTTTTGGATGTTGAAAATGCTTTTCAGACGGCGGTTACGAGGGGAGACAGTGCTCGCGGAACGGTTTAGTCTGCTGGTGCGTGGATAATAACGGCAGGAAGATATCCGGCTCGATGGGGCCGGCGGATAAGGTCGACTGCGCGTCGACAACGAAGGGAAGGTCCCTCCCGGCATCGTGCGCCTCCCAACAGTGCGCCCAAGTTTGCCAATATGGATTCAAAACGGACGCCTCCGGGTGTCCCACTTGCGAGTGCGATAATCCGTGCGAAGGGTGAGCGTGCCATTGCAATTAATAGCGATAGCAATAGCAATAAGTGTAGAACTTTTTTAAAATCGTGTTTGCCCGCAGTTTTCCATGCCCGGCGAAAGAGGAATGCGTGTTGAGTCAAGAAGACGGATGCCCGGACTTTTTGTGCCCGACCAAACCGGAATGCAGACCTAGGAAAGCTTACTCGAGTCCTTGCGTCTATGGGACACCGTTGATGGACGACGAACGTAACGCGATGACTTGTTCCGCGAACGACACTTGCCCGCAAGGCTACAAATGCACCGCTGTACCGGAAGCTGGCCAATCGATGTGCTGTACGATATCCGCCAATTCCACGAAGACGCCAACAAGTAAGATCGCGTGGTTATCGTAAACTTTCCGAGCGTGGTGTAACAGTCATCTAAACGCGAGCAGGTGATTTGGACACACCAACCTTCCATCGTTTCGTTTCAGTGTGCGAGTACTTGCGGGAGTTCAACGACCGCATGGTAGGCACGCGAGAGGACATGTCCCTGGCGATACCGGCGCCCGAATGCGAGAAAGACGGCAGCTACAAGCCGCTGCAGTGTCACCAAGGTATCTGTTCGTGCGTCAACGATCGCGGAGTCGCGATAAAAGTCGGCGTCGATCGTACCACCGACTGCAAGGAAATGAAAAACCTTCCGAAACTCTGTCAGCCATTGATGTGCGACCTGGCCTGTCCCTACGGCTACGAAGTGGACGCGGCAGGTTGCGAGCAATGCCGTTGCCACGATCCCTGCAAGATCGTTTCCTGCGGTCCTCAGGAGACTTGCACGATGGTCGACGTGAACTGCGGTACCGGACAGTTCTGTCCCGCGGTTCCAGCCTGTCTGGCCATGAAACCAGGTCAGTGTCCTTATCTCGTACCGAGCTCCTCGAGCTGCGAGTTGCAGTGCAGCAACGACCAAGAATGTTCAGCGATGGAGAAGTGTTGCTCGACCGGCTGCGGAACGCAGTGTATAACACCCGTGATGGCAACGGCCTGTCAACACGCGCGAGCAGTAGCGGAACACGCGGCCAGAGAGTCGGGGGAGCCAGCCAGAAGAACGTACATTCCTAGATGCGATGGCAGCGGGGCGTTCGAGCCTGTTCAGTGTCACAACGGAATGTGCTGGTGCGTGGACGAGGGAGGTAGGGAAGCTGCGGGGACCAGAGTCCTCGAGGGAGTGATACCTAAATGTAGCACACCGCTCAGATGTCCAGAGATCGATTGCAAACTCGACTGTCCCGAAGGATTCGATCTGGACCCGGACACTGGATGTCCCACGTGTTCTTGTCGGGATCCTTGCAAGAACGTGACTTGTCGCGGAGAGAACGAAGCGTGTAGAATGGTGGAGGTCGCCTGTAGCGTGCCGCCCTGTCCACCTGTGCCGGTATGTTTACCGAAGAAAGACAATCCGTGCCCGAATGGATCTCCGTTGTTGGACCAGGACGGATCGCCGGCTACTTGCGGCCCTCACGGCCATCATTGTCCATCCACGCACAAATGCGAACTCTCGCCTTTGGACGAGTACGCTGTCTGCTGTCCGAAACCGCGAGAAGTCTGTTTCGAACCTCCCAGAGTAGTTGCCTGCAACTCTGGTATAGGCCTGAACGAGACCGACAGGTGGTACTTCGATCCTGAGCGCAACGAGTGCAGAAAGAAAACCGAGTGTACTCTCGGGCACAACGACTTTTCCAGTCGTCTGGTCTGCGATACGGTCTGTCCCGTGTTGTCGCAGTGCGAGAGGCTTCGCGAAAAGAATTTGAAAACGTCGCAGAGGCTCAAACAACCGACTTTCCTGCCCAGATGCGACCCAGAGACGGGATTGTGGGAGCCCGTGCAGTGCCTGGAGCACGTCGGTGTCTGCTGGTGCGTTAACAGAAAGGGTCAACCCGTGAAGGGCTCGCTGACTAGAGGACCCGAAGCCAAGTGTAACTTCAGACAAGCTAGAAGAAGCGGTAGGGGACCGGCGGTGCAAGAAATCGACCGTGAGATTCAAGCGTTGATGGAGAACGCTTTTATTGACTTGGAAACCGACGAGAAACAAATCGGGAAGGTGTTGGGCACTAGGTGTCAGGCGATGAAGGACAAAGGCCACGTCCCCGCTATCTGCGATCGTCAAGGTAGGTTCGAACCGATCCAGTGCGCCGGGGATACGTGCTGGTGCGTCGACGAAGCTGGCAATCAACTTATCGGATCGGAGCCTTTCTTGAAGGGAACGAATATATGCTGTAAGTCCCGTAATCTAACTCTGTCTAACTACGTCAAATTTTCTTTTCCGCGTACAGAGAAAATTAAAGGCGCGTCTTCCTTTCTCATATGTTAGTGCCAACGCCAGTCGAAGCTGTCGAAGTCACTCTTCGTTTTCCCGGTCGATTCCTCGCCAGCGATGAAACCACGTTCGCGAGACACGCCGAGGATCTTCTACGCGATCTGGGCGCCAGGGTGAAGAACGCGATACGAGTAGAAATCGGTCAAGACTCGGCCATACTCAGCTTCGAGATAATAGGCCCGAACAAAGTCGACGTGGCGTTCCACTTGGAGGAGCTGACTAGAATTCAAAAGTTGTCGATGCTAGGATCGTTCGCGGATGCGACCACGTCGCGTTTCACCCATAGGTCAACCCCCATGGCCATGCAGAGTCGAATAGTCGCACTGGAGCAACGGGAGATCCTCACGGAAGTGGAGACACCCATTTATCAGACAGCTACTCTGGTTCTAGCGGCGGGAAGCGCGTTCATAATTAGCAGTTTGTTGATTCTGCTGATGTTGTACCGCAAAAAAGTATGCTGTTAAACTTTGTCTATAATATGGTAAAAGAAACAACGTATAATAATGTGATGTACATTGTGCTCGGTTTCAGATGAAAATGAAGGATCCGTCGAAAGCGTTAGCGGCGGACCAGCATTTTCTGGCATACCAACAACCGGTGTATGTGATATCGGGTGGGGAGCAGGATGAGAAGAAGAAGGAGATCGCTGAAACACAAGACGCAGCGTCCTCGTCGGACGTTGTCGTCAGCACATGAGAACGCTACGAAACGCGAACGATGGCGTTCGAGTCGTTCTTATTTCGTAAAAGAGACGGGCAAAATAACCGACCGAATGAAAATTAGAGTATGAACTATAGATGTTATGTATCGCATTGAACCAAGATAAAATTGTCCAAGTAGCTATTCGATCGAATAAACGTCGCGAATAAATTGCCACGCGTTCCTTTTATTCGTCGTTTGTTATTCGAATGAAACTTTGCCCGTCTCTATCTCGTACGCGGGTAGTCGTAATCGAAGTCACGTCTACATAATCAACTTCTTTCATTACGGTAAAATATTTATTCTTTGAACACGAGACGCATCGCGATTGCTCGAATCGGCGACGATCGATCGAATCGATTCGCAAGCGGTACATTCCTATCGCCGTGCATCGTAACGGAGACAGAAGGATCCCGATCGTTCCGAGTATCCATCGGATCCGCGATGCAGGGTGTATACATACTTGTGATAATTTCGGGGTTCGGGGATAACGAAAAAATGATTCGGTTGATCGTCGAGGAAATAGTTCTCATTAGAACGATCGGATTTTCTCGCGGGTATCTCTGTTTCCGTCTGAACGACGGAGCCACCAGCGCAAACGTGTCCTGGCCCGACGAAGCAGCGCTAGGATATCGTTGCGTTGATCGTATCATCGTGGGTGTAAATACTAGATTCGTACTGTGTTCGTTTATTTATATAGCTCAATAAAAACCAGGAATTCCTTCATTCGCCGATAATCCGTTATTTGCGACACGACGTTCGTAATATCATTTCGGTTCGTTCGCTCGTAACTTTCGATCGGCGTTCGTCCAATCGGAGACCTGTTACCCTAAATCCGGATTCCCAGTTCGTCGGCAAATGAAACTACTCCCAAACGGGTACGAATAAATAAATATCGTCGATTCAATTATCCCTCCGCAATACATTTTTCACGAACAGAATTAATCAAGGATCGAATAGTTCTCGACCTTTCAGCATCCGCTGAACGCCAGTGCCGTAAGTAGAAGTGCTCTTTTTTTAGCCGAACCTCCTCCAATAGGATGGCTACGCATCATTCTGTTTCCACTTGTTCCGCAAGCTCTTCGCGTAAACGCGCATAACCAGTGACGGATCTGGTCTCCGAGGGGCCTTTATTTTCCGAAAAGTTACTGGATCCGACAAATACGTTAATATATATTTTCGACATTTACGTCTTCTCGGACGGCTAACGATTAACGAACCAAAAGTTGGATCAACCTGAGAGTTCCCCCTTCGATACAGATAATGGAACATCCGAGAAACGATCAATTTAATCGTCGCGAGCGACTCGTGATTAATTCAATCGTAAATCGTCTCGAGCGAGCAACGATTATCCATTTTAATCGTAATCGTTACTTCGATTAAACTCCATCGGACACTAGTGGAAACGTAGCCTGAGCTTTCGACGGAAACTCACGAGATCCTCCGAATGGCGTCCGAGGCCGAGATCGAATCGCCCTTTAGACGAAGCACGGAGTGACCAATCGAGCGGTTCGGGTCGGTGGGGGCTGTCAAGGGACGGTAAACGAGTGCTTATCGTGATATGTCGTCCTCGTAATCGCAAGACAAGATTCTCTCGGGGTGTTTTAACTCGTGACGTAATCGTTCGACGACGCGACGAGGACAATAATAATAATAATAAAAAAAAAAAGGACACGGGGAAACACCGAAGGACAAGGAAACCAAAGAAAGAGAGACAGTGGAGTTTAATGGCTCTCAGGAGATTGGAAATACAAAAACAGGCTTCGCGCTCGCGAACGGGGCTCGCAACAAGCAACATCGTCTCACGTTCGCTGGTCCCGTGTCCAATTCTCCGTCTCGATTTCGATGACAGGCTGTTGTTGCTGTCGTCGCGAATTCGGCTTCAGTTTCCGTGTCTGTTATGCGTAAACGCGGACCGAGCCGAGTGTTTATAACTGCACGATCAGTGGCGTAACTACAGGCTGGTGCAACGCATATCGAAACACGATTTCCAAGTCAACGGGTCCCCCGAATTTATTTAACAAAAATCAAACGTAACTTTATCGATTGACGTCCGCTCTTTTTGTACATTAAACACGCGTTTTCTACGTGAATATATTTTCTTCGAACGGTAACGAACACGAGAAAATCCTGTGTCTATGTTGCTAGAAATGTTTCGTTAAATTTAACGCGTATCGCGAGATATGTTGGTTCGTTCTTTTTACAAGATATAAACACGATGCCGTGTTATTTTCGTTTAGCATCGTTCATGTTTTGTCAATAATTAATATAAACAAAATGTTTCGAGTAAAATATTTCTTGTAGGATATCCGTTTCCGAAAGGACCGCGCCATAAATTTGAACGCGAGGCCGCGGAATTGCTAGTTACGTCACTACGCGCGGTACTGGCGGCGCCGAAGGGAAAGGGAAAGGGTGGCGGAGAAGGAGACGGAGCAAGTTGGAAGGGAGAGTGACACGGGGGGGGGGGGGAACAGTGTGCGTGCGCGCGTGAAGGAGCGAGAAGGAAAATAGAGCCGAAGGCTCGTCGGGGACGGGATATATTCGAAGCGGTGCGCCACACATTTTCCGACGGAAGGTCGTTATTTACCGTGGCGAAAAACTGTTGGTGAAATATTTTTCGAGAGGTCTATCCTCGATAGACGCGTCGCGAATCGTACGACAACCTCCTCCGACCAGAACTCGTTGGGCACCGCGGCGATGGTTCGATCTGGTTGACCGAGTAGTTGACTAATTTCTGAATAACCTGCTCGTACGATCTGAAGTGTCAGCTCGTCGACAGGCGTGACAGCCCGTCGACTGGCTCGTCCGTGTTCTGTTCACGATGTTCACGGGGACGGTGAAGATCGAAATATGCGAGGCAGTCGGACTAAGGGCGACAGACAAGCAGCGCAAGTTCTGGCAGGACGAACCTATACTCGACCCTTACGTTCAGCTGGACGTCGACGAGAATCATCTGAATCGTTCGTCCACCAAGCCGAAAACCTTCGATCCAGTGTGGAACGAATCATTCACCCATGACGTCCAGGATGCAGTCATGCTCGGGCTTACAGTTTTTCACGACGCGGCATTGCCACCGGATTATTTCGTCGCCAATTGCAGTATCCCCTTCGAGGAGCTTGTCAGCAGAAACGACAAAACTGCAGACTTCTGGGTTCGTTTTACAACGTCACATATTTCTCGTTACGTTTCTCCTTTAACTTTCTATCGCTAACAATATATTCTTGAATTACCGCGTTTAGTAATGCATTATTGTTTTCGTTGTTTCCCTTTCTGTGTTATGCCTGTACACTTTTCCATAAAGTCCTTCGAGTTCTTTTCGGTCAATTGATCAGTCTAATTTTGTTTAGCAGCGATGCTATTATGTTTGCTGTTGCTGTGTGCAATAGCGAAATGACACATAATCTGTGTTTGTGTGCATTTCTATTACGATATCGTAGAGGAATTCAAGGTAGTGATAAGACTGTGTCAATAAGAACCAAGTTAAAGGAAAACGCGATAGGTGTTACAGACACTTGAAATAGTTAGCAGTGAAACACAAGTTCCTTTAAAATGGTGCAAGACGGTGAAAATTTTAAACAAGTAAAGGAATTTAAAAATATTTCTATATTTCATCTATCAGTTTCAGTTTATAATGATGTTGATATGTACAATAAAATCACAACATAAAATGAAATTTGTTTCAGGTCGACCTGGAGCCTCAAGGAAAACTAAGGGTTAGGATTGATCTGAAGTGGAATGACCAAGGTAAGATATCTTTCAGAAATAAATCAAATACATTTAGATCATATTTTCATAATAAACTTTTGTAGATCAACAACGGGGTTGCGGTGCAGGCAATGGAGAAGGCATCGGAAGCAGAGGTGGTGGAAGCATCACTGCTGGTCGAGAACCCAGGAGGGAGTTCAAAGAACGACAGGGTTTCAATCGGCGACGGGGTGCTATGCGACGTAGAGTTCATCAAGCAAACGGTCACAAATTTATGGCTACTTTTCTGAGGCAACCGACTTTCTGTTCCCACTGCCGTGAATTTATATGGTACGTCTTTTGCGCAAACGTTATTGACTACACTCGCTTAGGGTCTATATCACGAGCATATTCTAACTCTGATTCAAGACATTTACTAATTTAATTCATTTCATGATTTACAACTCTGTCCACTTAATTTGGTGTGCATGTCTGGAAACAGAAATAGCATATCATCCTGTATTCGCAATTATTTGCGATAAAGTTTAATAAATACGGACACACCAAATTAATGTGGGATTTGGGAATATTGGATTAATTTTGAAAGTGTTGAAGTTGCATGTTGGGTATTTGGTTTCTTATAGTTTATATTTCGAACGTTCTTTTAAGTACGTATTTTCGTTACGTCGATATTTCGATAAATGTGTAACAAATAATTATCGACTACACTACTAGCGTATCACGACATTTGGAGCACGGACATGAAAATTTAACAAATGCATTTAGGTACATCAATTTTCCATCATCTTCGAGTATTCTTTCCTTTTTTTATCTCATCGCGGCAGAGTAAGGAGTACTTGGTACTTTGCGTACCGTTTCGGGGACGATTCAACCAGAAATCAGCTGCATGCACTTTTTAGTGAAATTATTTTCATATTAACAGGGTGTTGCAATATTTTGTACAAGAGAGTTCGTAGTAGTACTACAATATTTTTATAAACGTAAGACGGAAACGTAAAACTAGCATACATATAGAGTGATCATCGTTATTCTAATCTTTCTCAAAAGGCTAGCACAAACATCTAATTATGGTTTATGGTCCAAGAAGGCATACGTATGTGTTTTGTGAGGGTATACAAGGAGATGATGTGATGTGTTTTGTCTGTTGTATTTCAGGGGCTTGGGCAAGCAGGGCTATCAGTGTCAAGGTGAGAAGACACATACACGTTATTAACAGATATTATAATTATATATTTGCTTGCTCTATCTTTGTACGAACATATGTTTATTTAGGTGTGTGTGCGTATGTGTATATAGTTCATTACAAAGAATTAAGTCATTTTGGAGAATCGGAACTTTTATAGTTGAGTTCGAAAAATTGAATTTCTTAACATTTCATTTGGTCCATGGCGCGATACTCGATACTGTGCTTTCTGTAACAATAATTGACGAATTATATGGTTATAATGCATCAGTTAAATTCTTACTTTAAATCGTTATTCTCTAATTTTGTTTCGGAGCGTACATTAACATGGTAATACGCGGGGAAACCTTTCATTGCATGTCTTTAAGTACAATGTAATAAATCGCAAGGAGGTTCTAATGGTTTCATTTTATCACATCCTTAGAGGTCATATTCTGTCTTTAATGTTCAAGCTTATACTGGTCCTATGGCAAGACTATCACAACATCCACCAAGTTTAATTTATGCTTGTCATATCGAATCAATGCGTCTAATCACGCATGCAACCAGCTTCGGTCATGCTATGCTCATAGTTGTCCAAATAAAAATGTGTTAATATTAAATGAGACATTATTGTGTTTCAGTTTGCACATGTGTGGTTCACAAGAGATGTCACAAGCTGGTTATTACAAAATGCCCAGGCATGAAAGAGGTAACCACGATACGATGCATTTATTCAGTTTTATTGTTCGCCGTTAAAATTGAATTTTTGTTTAATTTTCAATTCATCTATCGATATTTAATTCCAGTCGACTCATGATACGGAAAGTCCGCGCTTCAGCATAGACATGCCGCATCGTTTCGCTGTACACAATTACAAAAGATTTACATTTTGTGATCACTGTGGATCGCTTTTGTACGGTTTATTCAGACAAGGCTTACAATGCGAAGGTAAATTTATACAACGTAATGCAAATTCTCCGTATCCAAAAATATGATTAAATGTACGACGCTTGAATTTATTTTTGTTTTTATACAGCTTGTAATATAAATGTCCACAAAAGGTGCCAGAAAAATGTAGCCAATAATTGTGGGATAGACACAAAAGCTATGGCTGAAATCTTAAGTACAATGAATATATCGCCGGATAAGCAAATAAAAACTCCAAAGATTAATTATAGAACAACAACTTATCAGTCTGGTCAGACACCTCCAACCGTAACCGTTACGGACACCTTACCGACGGATAATATGCAACCAGTTCAAAAAACAGAGGACGCGCCGGTTATCGCTACTGAAAATACAGTACCTGCTAGTGAGAACCAAGTTAGAAAGCTTGGTATCGAAGACTTCAATTTCATCAAAGTTCTCGGTAAAGGTAGTTTTGGAAAAGTGATGTTAGTAGAACGAAAAACGAATCCTGACGAGGTTTACGCCGTGAAAATCTTGAGAAAGGATGTAATCATACAAGATGACGATGTGGATTGCACGATGACGGAAAAACGTATTTTAACACTGGCAGCGAAACATCCTTTTCTCACTGCTATACATAGTTGTTTCCAGACAAACGATCGATTGTTTTTTGTTATGGAGTTCGTAAACGGAGGTAAGAATTATTTATACCAACGTTTTATTGTAATATATAGCGTTAAAAACTCAAGCAATATTATTTTTCTTTATTTCAGGCGATTTAATGTTTCATATTCAGAAAGCACGAAAATTTGACGAAGCGAGAGCACGCTTTTACGCAGCAGAAGTTACACTCGCGCTTCAATTTCTCCATAAACATCACGTTATTTATCGAGATCTTAAATTAGACAATATATTACTCGACCAAGAGGGTCATTGTAAATTAGCCGATTTCGGGATGTGCAAGGAGGGCATTGTCGAAGGGAAAACAACCACGACAACATTCTGCGGTACTCCGGATTATATAGCACCTGAGATTCTTCAGGAATTACAGTATGGCGCCAGCGTCGATTGGTGGGCACTTGGCGTTTTAATGTACGAAATGATGGTCGGTCAGCCACCATTCGAAGCGGACAACGAAGACGATCTATTCGAGTCCATCTTACGGGACGATGTAGTTTATCCGAAATGGATCTCGGAAGAAGCAGTATCGATTTTAATAGGATTCATGACGAAAAATCCCGCCGATAGGTTAGGTTGCGTTGCAGCTAATGGCCGCGAGGACGCCATAAAAACTCATCCATTTTTTCAAAGGATCGATTGGGATGCGCTCGAAGCTCGTAAAGTGAAACCACCGATCAGACCAAAAATTGTAAGTTCATTTAATCGACTCGATGTATTATTTTACCTGTTGATTAAGTATTACTAAACGACGATCGTATCGCATTGTTTAGAAAAGCGAAAAAGATACGTTGAACTTCGACGCGGAATTCACGAAAGAGGATCCGGTATTGACACCGGAGGATCCGGACGAAGTAAACTGCATCAATCAAGAGGAGTTCCATGGCTTTTCTTTCGTCAACAAAGACTTCAATCCAGCTAGGTTTGGAGTACAGTAAGGAACACGAACCAGTGAACGAAAAAGAGGATACAATGTTAATATCAACTTAACGCTTCTTGCTTAACGAAATTGGCGACGATGTCAATCTGCAAAGCTGAACATCGGCGTTTTGAAGCTGCTCGGGGTCTCCTTTGTATTTCGTCTTCGCCGAAGAATCATTTTCTGTGTTATTGGAAGCAACGCTCAAGCTGCAAGAAAAAACAGTGGGTGGAGATCATCGAAAAATTTGGAAACTACGGTTTAAGGTCTTCGGTGTCCGTTCCGTATATGAACTGGCAGTTTTTTCGCAGAGATATCGATCGTTAACGAGCAAACGTGACGTTAATTTGGCACAAGTAGAAAAACGCATTCGAATCTAATTGTGTCTTTAAGGTTTGGCGAAGTCGCTGTTATCTTTTCATTTTCATGGAAAGCCAGATACCAGCGTTATCGAGAGGAAACGCCAACGAGAGATTCAATTTGTGGTCATTAGAGAGCAAACGTACTTTGGAAATCGAGTACTCTGATTAAGGAAATTAGTACAAAAAAAAAAAAAAAAACGAAAAGAAAAGAAAAGAAATGAGCAAAGAAAGTCATTTTTGATGGATAGCGCAAAAGATCGCTGGGCGATCTGTTATTTTCTGTTGAATTGATATTCTTAAAAAATATATATAATATTGTTAGAAACTCTACAGAAGTATTAGGGGAAGACGAAGGATTTGAATCGGTAAGAATTTTTCAGTGACTTCTTAACCGTGTATTTCGTTTCCTCTCAGAGCGCTTTTAGAGGATTTTCCTCGACGCAGAGTGTTTTATACCAGTGAAAAAGAAAGAAACAAGTTCGCACAGGATCAGCTTTGAGTCTGAAAGGTGAAAAGAACATTGATATCGATTTAACTCTTATTTCTTTTTTTATTATCACCGGTGATTCGGTTTCTTATAAAATACGCGGGAAAAAAATCTTTTCTGATTTACAGACTCACGGTTAAAATCGTGTAGAAAGACTTGGCACTTGTGCATAATTTTTTTTTTTTTTTTTTTTTTTTTTTTTTTTTTTTTTTTCATTAGCGCTTACGTACTTACGCGATAGTTTCGATGCATATTATAAGGATTATTTTTTATTACGACGAAAGGAACGATCGATTCCGATATTGCTTGAAAAGTAAATCGTGTTTTAGGTCTTTAGCGTAGTGTCGAGTCACTAGTGATCAAGACTGAACGTAAGCTGGGCTTAAGTTTTGACAAATCACCAGCCGGCACAATTGCAAATGTCGAGTCTGTGTAAAACTTGTGCATATAGTATAGTTTATCCATAGAGAATCGGGAAGTTGTGTTTCTGTTCGAACGAGATCCGGCGTTCTCGAACAGTCTAAACTTTTCGTCGAGCTTTATTCAGAGGAGCATCTCGCAGCGCTTCTCCGATAGGATTTAAATTAAATTTAAAAAAAAAAAAAAAAGGGAAAAAAGCGAAAGAAAGAGCAACCATGTTCGCACGACGAAGATCGAGCAGGATACGATCTGACCTTGTGGTCATGGTGTTTCATACTTAAAATAGAATTTTAAGTGATCATAGACGCGACGGGAGTCCACTGGTGGTCACCGTCAAAGTTACGTAAAAGAATGCATACGTGTGTGTACGCGTATAAACATAACTTATTGAAACAGTACGCCTAAAAACGTTGCGGACAAACGGGTCACGCGATTAAGAACACTCGAGACGATCGAACACGTTAATCGCGTGAAATACCCGCCCGTGTCCGCGGGTCTTTTGATCGATGCAAATATTAACCACGAATGACATATGCGTGTTGAACACGCGATTGTTGAACATCTTAATCGTTAAGCGAATTTAAAAAAAAAAAAAAAAAAAACAAAACAAAAACAAAAACAAAAAGTCCACCTAGCGAATATCGATGCACATTCAAAAATCTTCGTACGTGTTGTCTCTAGTTAGGTGTCTTTAAGGCTTGAAGCATCAACCTCGTGTACTTAAGATTAGTAAAAGCTGAAAGCTCTATATAGTATTAAGTGGTAAATAGTCGAGCCTTATCCGCAACGTAAAGAAGCACCTGAAGTACGTAAAAAAAAAAAAAAAAAAATAAAAATAAAAATCAAGAAAAACAAGAAAAAGAAAAAAAAACGTAAATCAGCGAACGGTTTATCTTATGGACGGATAAAAAAAAAAAATGTTAACTAGGGTGGGTGATAAAGAGAGATTTATTCGAGAACGTGAAAAATCTTCTCGAGGTTTCGTGGAGCGCGAGCAAAAGTGAATAAGAGAAACAAAATACTCTATACGTAAGTTAAGGCACGTTATTTCGTCGTTGTTTGTGCCGTGAAGTTTGCACCAAAGATTTCAATTCAGTTTTCTTTCTTTTTTTTTTCTCTCTCTCTCTCTCTCTCTCTCTCTCTCCATATAGAGAGCTTCGCAACACGAATCGCGGCTGGATATAGTGAATGAATCACGAAACTTCGGCCCCGGTTTCGATCCTTGGTGTAAACTTGAATTCGTCGTTGATAGTTCTAAACGGAAATGATTTAGCCGATTCTAGTAATAATAGCGAGTAACGAGTAGTAATAATAACGTTTAGTAATCGTAAATCGAGAAAGAGAAGAAACAGCGGGAAGAGCCGTACGTAGTACCGTGAAGAAAACAGAAAAAAAATATTTTAGCGCGTGTCCGTCGGGCGATCAACCACTGGACGACAAACACTTGTCAGCCCCTGGTTGTATTCGAGCGGTTAATCGCGGCTACGGAACGCGCATGTCGATGTCGTGATCATTGTCGCCGTGTCGTACTCGTACACATTTTTATGTCCTCCATAGATATTAGGCCCGTTTAAATGAACGATTAAGGAAAAAGAGGAAGAAAAAAAAAAGAAAATGAGAAATTGCTAATAGGATACGTTCGTGTCTGCCCCTCTGCGTGCTTCGAGCCTGTGCAGGACTCGAAACACGGGAGTGACAGCATCGAGACAATCGAGACGAACAACTCGATGTTCCAGTGTTAGAAATTAACGATCCGTGGAATGAATATCGTCAGTACAAGGAGAATTAATTTCCATAGTAGTATAAATTGTTTGCGTAGATGTACAGGGTCGGATTAAGACGCGAGCTTTAGGGACCTACGTTCCACGGAGGGCCTTCAGAGTTAAAGGTACTTCGTTTCCGAATGTCGAATCAAAGTATACGCGTGTACTATACGAAATCTGTACGAGAGATCTATACGATCTTAATCCGGCTTTGTACACGTACGATGCTGATTTCGCAATCATTGGCGAGAAGCAATGCTCGTTCGCATGTAAATGTAGCTGATCATCGTACCTTTTTACAGCTTTTGCTTGTATAGCAATAATTACCGACCGATAGCATCGATATACACGTATCGAGAACCGCGTCGAATGTCATTCTCCGTGTACTGAAATTCAGAGTGCTGTATCCTCGTCGTTGGTAATCTTTTTCGTAACGATTAATCGTACCAATCGCAATATTTAACGATTACGGTTTACGCTACTGTTTTAGGAGAATCGAAATCGTCCCGATCGATCAGGGTCAGCACTCGATTCGTTCGTCTGCGTCGGTGCACTTATCGTAAATCTAGTCAGAATGGAGATTATACCGAGGGAAACGGGCCCTAGTTCGACGCAGGGCCGTGTCTAGAAACTTTTAACGTCCAGGGTAACGATGGAATACACCGTTACAGAAAAATGTATCGTTTCGCATCGCGGTAAAAAGATGTTCATCTCGCCTTTCTGAAAGAAAGCCCGACATGGACAAACTTCCCGTTTAATCGCGTTTTCTTAGCAATATTATTTCACGAACAAGTTATACAAGTATCCCCATTCTCGTCCGTCTTGTCACGGCCCTGGTTCGATGTTTCGAGCCGCGAAGGTAATGTTTAAATTCAAGAGAGACGAGTTAGTCCGGCCTACGCTTTAAAAAAAAAAAAAAAAAACAAAACAAAACACACACAGACGGTTACGTGCGTTATTTCGACAGGAAATTACTGCTGATGCCGTGTACCTATCATTGTGTCTAGGATTACCGTGTAACAATTATCCCGTACGTTTAATGAAGAAGAAAAAAAAAAAAAAGTAAGATCAAGCACTCGATTCGTCGCTAGATATAAGGGCGAAGTTTCGTTTAGTACCACGGTGCGAGTTGGAGGAATTTCGTGCACCACCATTTCATCGGTAATAGTAACGCGCGATATCTTGTTCAGTTGTAAAATCCGTTTTTGTCAGACGATTCTCGATACTCGTTGCGAAAGTGATGCGTACCGGAGATGAGAGAGAACGTAACGATTGCCGTCCTGAACACATCGATACGACGAGCACGGTTAACCCTTTGATTGTCATAGACGCTCGTCGTCAGTCGATCGGTCGACTGCGTGCGGTAAACACCTACGGGCTTCTAGCGTGCGAAAAAGTCTTCGATGTTGTCCGTCGACAAAGGGTTAAATTGAACATCCAGTGGTTTCTTTCGGTTATTACGATTACGTAGAAAGTAATAAGCAGACGAATAAGAAAGTAAGCAATTAATTTATCCGTTTCAATTGTACCAGTAAAAATGCCACGAAATACAATCCGTCGATATTGCACGGAAGAAATTATTGCGCTTGAACGGGTTATCTCAACCGATAATCGACGATCGAATCGCGTCCTATTTTTCGACGAACGAGAACGTGCTTTTAACGAAACGATTACTATTGTCGTAGGAGCGTAATCGGTCGATATTATTCTTGCTACGACAACGATCATCGAGCTGACAAAAACGGTTTTTTTTTTTTGTTTTTTTTTTTTAAGATACGTACGCCGTTTCGTTTTACAGTATTCACCTAGTTTCTCCGAGATCTTGTTTCCAATTTCGCACGAGTATTCTGGAAATCGTGCGCGACCAAACCGCGTCAATACTCGGTGTATTAAAATCCATTAGCTAATAGCAGATGTTACATATTTTATATATATAGTATATGTATATTTTTTAGTTTTCCTTAAGCTCGATCCGTTTCACATGGTTGCTTCAACCGAATCCTTTTCTCGTCTTATTTTTTCTTGTCGCAGCAACGGTCGCGATCAGAACGAAAACTTTCTCTATTTATCTTTTTATTTTTATATTCTTACTTACGTCATGCTTACATTTCTCGAGTCACGAAGAGAACTATCGTCGTTTATTCCATGGAAAACAATAATGAAAAGCTAAAATATATTATATATATATATAACGCGTACATATGTTTAGCGAAGTTTTACGGTAGCGCGATAGAACTAAAATAATGTTAAGGACGATAGTGCTCTTGTCATGCGCCCGATACCTCTTCCCCTCCCCTCACCCACCCTCACCCGTTATCAATTATCGCCTTGAGATTTTTGTATTCGCTAGTCAGTCGCGTTGATAGGGCGTGGCGATGAAGTCGCGTGTCGTTTCATTGGCTGGCTTTTGGGCATCGCGCGCGCTGATTCGCGTACACTTGGATGTCACGTGACCTCTGTGCTTTGGAATGCGCGGGAAACGCGTTATCATATCGGTGCGTATTCGAGGTTAACGATGGTCGGGCAAGGAACGCAATGGTTTCGACGACGCGTCAGTTTACGTACGTAAATAACGTATTAAATGCTACATAAAGTTATATACGTATATATATATATGATATATGATACGCATACGTAATGTATATTATATATTATATGTATATATATAATTAAAATGAAGAAAGAGAATTAATATTGTTGCAATATAGAGTTTTAAGTAGAGTCGCACGTGACTTACGACGGTGGTACCTTTCCTTTTTAGAGTATAATTTATAAAAATGATATATATGTATAAACATGACAAACAAAAAGGATAGAAATGTATATATTTATAAATATATATAAGCGAAATGAGATAAACATAAAAAAATATATATATATATATATTATATATATATATATATATATATTAGACGTACGCGTTCTCTTTAAGTTTCTTCAGACCTGTGTTAAAATCCGTCAGTTTTCTTTCCATTTCAACGATCTTGGTTTGCTTTTTTCTTCCCGTACGCAACAGTATAAAATCACAAGCGAGATAGAAAAGGGACCAACGTCGCTGAAAACGAACGAACACCATGAACACATTTTATCCTGGGTCTGAACGATACTGGGATAGCCGTACAAAAAAGAACAAAAATATATATAGAGAGGAAGAGAGAAAGAGTCAGAGGAAGGAAAACCGACAAACGAAACTCTGTACAGGGTGTCCCAACAATGTTGGAAGTCCTTGAAAATAGTGGTTCGGGAGGTGTTTTGAAATAACTTTTTCCTTAGCGAAAATGTTGTCCGAAGCTTCGTTAAGGAGATATTAACAGAAAACCCCGACCAATCAGAGCGCGCGGATACCCTTGGAGCGCCACCAGTAGGCGTGGCTACGCGCCAGGCGGCCGCGCTCATACGCCACCGCGGAGCGCTCCATCGGCATACTCGCGCTCCGATTGGTCAGTGCTTTTCGTTAATATCTCCTCAACGAAGCCTCGGACAACATTTTCGCTAAGGAAAAAGTTGTTTCAAATCACCTCCCGAATCACCCCTTTCAACGACTTCCAACATTTTTAGGACACCCTGTATATCGCGCTAATATGCTTGCGCGCAGTGTTGAGTTAGGCGTTCTTCAAACAAGGCAACAAACGCCCGAAGAGAACCGTCGAAATCGCGATCGATCACCAGCTCCTCTTTTCGCAATCGTCGTATTTATCGATCACGATAATATAATTTGTAATAATTCGTATAAAAATTGATTTCGAATATAATTTATAAAGCAGGGAGGACTCATTTTTTAAATGTTTAATACACGCACACACGCATAGGAACGAAATACTATTTAGAGTTATCGAGTAAAAGCCAAGTTTATCGTAGTTGACGCGAAAAGAGGTGCAACGGTTTCAAGTATTACTCGACACTGCTTGCGCGAAAAACGAAAAAAGAAAACGCGTAACACGGGTTGTCGAGACTCTTTTTAGGTTAACTTGTAACCGGGGTAGCCCGCACGAGTCCCCGGCGTTTGGCTGAAAACTGATTTTTCGCGTGCTTTTTTCAAAGGAAGCGTAATTAATATACCTTTCGACGAGAGCAGCCGT